ATCAAATACTTATTTCATGCAATAAAATGGAAATAAATTATTTAAAAATCTAACAATGTGATTTAGTGGAATTTTTTTGTAGATTCTGTCTCTCACAGTTGAGGTGTACCTACGATTAAAATTACAGAACTGTCCATTCTCTGTAAGTGGGAAAACTTGAACAATCGCCAGTGTATCAAATACTTATTTGCCCCACTGTATTAGCTAGCTAGCTACAGCTCATATAATCTGGTTGTGGTTTTATCTGATAAAATGGATGGTTAATGGCTAAAACAGCCACCACTATGTGAAATCAAGAAAACATTTAGAGCACAAAATCTGCTACTGGGATTTTTGTAACTTGCAGATGTGTTGTATTGGAACTGACAACCAGACAAGCACAGCAATAGGAACAAAAGAAGCCCGCCTTAGCATTTTATTAAGTATGAGAAATGTGTAACGTGTTGAAGAGGACATGTTATCACTTGTGGAAACACATTTCCCTTATTTTTTCTTTTATAATGAGTCATGTAACCTTTGGGGTGATTGTCTGGGATAAAGTGATAGAGCATCACCCGAGAGATGAAAGAAACAGATGTTGGTTGCGATAAGGGGAATAAAAGAAAACAAAAAGAGGCACACTGCCAGCTGTTTAGTGCAGCACCTTTGCTTTGGAAGTTAAGGTGTAAAGAAGAGAATGGTGACACTCACCTCCTTGCTTACTTCTCTCAAGATAGATGGAGACCCTTCTGGCCAGACCTGTGAGTGGAGGGAGGGAGCAAATGGAAGGGGGGAGGAGGGAGGGGGGAATGCAACAAGGCAAGCAACAAATTAGCAAGGACCCCTGAGCATGCAGGCCAGCACGTTCACACAGACATAAAAAGTATGACTTTCTGAGGATGCTCCACATGCATATAGACAGCAGAGGATTGAACAAAGTTGCTGTTCCTCATTGTAGTGGCTCCCAGATGACAAACAGTGATCAAAGAGTGAAAGGAGAGAGACAGAGAGGCGTGAGCTGTGCTGCTTCCTCTGCATTATAAACAGGGGTAGTGGAAGCTGCACAGGGTCCCCTTCCAAAGCCTGCAGGAGACAGAGCTCCACATCCCTTCACCACAGGGCTGAAAGCAGGCAGGGCACAGCTGCTGCTGGACTAGGCCTGAGGGAGTGCACAGAATGAGAGTCTGGGTGAGACTTTCATATGAAAATATTTTAACTTGGTATGAGGGTGTGGGTGATTAAATGAATGGATTCATTAACTAAAAAGTGTGACAGCATGATTTGTTGTTATCAAGGTGCAAGTTACTGGAAAAACTGCCTGTTCCCTTGTTCAGCCTCTCTCTTGAGGGGAGGGATGAACACAATACAATACAAAAACAAAACAAGGAGCCAGACAGACAGACACTCCACTGAGATGGTTCACTGATGAACAACAGCACACAAAAGCATGTTATTGGAAGACAGGGACAGGATGAATGGGTACAGGTGTGCGTGTGTGTGTGTGTGTGTGTGTGTGTGTGTGTGCATGGCTGCCAGCATTTCCTCGAGAAACATTCACGGTCTTATAGCAACTGTCTACAAAGGTACAGCAAGTTTTGGCAGCACAAAGACAAACTTATGCAATATTGCATCAGGTTTTATATTATTAATGCAGCTGAGGCAATGCTAAAAATCTTAAAAATAAAAAAAAGCACCAGCATATGAAAGATGTTCCAAGCAACAGTAATAACTCCAAATAGATTATTGGGCCAGGATGGGAGGTGGTATGTGTGAATGCAACACAGAAAACTGAGTGTGTGTGCAAGACTGCAGATGTTTTTGAAGTTCCCTGGCAACTTTTACAAAATGTCTAATACCACAAGCCAAAGCTGGCCTCTTCAGCAAAACTTTTCCAGGAAAGATCTCAGCTGAGCAGCTGTTTATATTAAACTGACGCCTCCACTTTAGTCTGGATGCAGAACCTTCACAGTGACTGTCACCAGCACATCCTGGATAATAAGCACACCATTAAATGTTAATGTCTTAGTGAAAACAAGTCTGTGGCTCACTGCACAAGAGTCCTTCCCAGAGGAAGAGTCTCTCAGGGTGGTTTGTGTCACGAGAGGGAGACAGACAGGGATGCTGTATGTCAGGTCCCCACAAAGCTCTGCTGGTTCTGTGGCTTTCGAATAATGGAGATGCATTTGTGCATGCAGTGTGTGGTCCACAAATCTTCACAAATATCCAGGCAGCCAGTCACTCATCCTGGCAGCTCTGCCCTAGTTGCTACCAATTAGCCATATATGGGTCTTTTTATACGAGATGGAAGCTGCTTAGTCACACAAAACTGCATCACATGTGCCCATGCCAGTACACAGGATCACAAATCATTTTGAAACTTTTTCACAACATACAAAGATGTGATAGTCAATTGCTGCATTTACCAAACAGGTTATCGAGTATTCAGAGAAACATACAGTAATTTCTATAGCTGTCACAGTTTCCCCCAAAACTTCCCTGACCCAGAAATGATGTCTGAGAAATGCTCAGGGCAGTAAAATGTGGAGCAGCAAAGAGTGTTGAGAGAGAGAGAGAGAGAGAGAGAGAGAGAGAGAGAGGGTAACCTGGCACAACAGAGGAGTGGGTAGATGTCTCTGACAAGTGAGTACTGTGGGTGTCAGGCCTGGCTTCAAATATCTGTGCATAACTTGAATTATGGAAGTGTAATACAACAGAAGGTAAAAACAGAATTAAGTCCACCAGTGTCCACAACCCAAAAACGATAATTTATACTGATGCAACACAATCAACCCTACAAGTGAAGACTAATGATCTATCTGTTGCACTTAATCATTCATTTTTGCCGTGTTTCCACTATCGAAACCTAATGAGCAGTATACCCCGTACTTCCCTTAACCATCACCAAGCGCAGCCTCCGGGGTTGACGTGGACCGTCCTGCTTTTTCTCCCCACTGTATTCTCTCTCTGTCAGTTTCTGTTAAGAGGAGGGAGGGGCTGCTCCCCTCTCACACATGCAGTCAGCTGTGTGTTTACACACGGTGCTTGTAATGCTGATGCTTGAGGTGTGAAGATGCAGACATTTAACTAATCACTAGCGACTGCTCTGAGCTTTACTCTGTGTGACATGCTTCGGTACAGCCTATAATGGAAACACCTCATTTATGTTCTTAAACAAACTGACTTTGTACACCAGCCTCCTAACAAATTAAACATGCTGCTTTTTCAGATATGACAAGTATATGATGGATATGGCAAATGTGACAGGATGAGACAGATCAGGCTGACAACAGGTTTTAAGTTAACACTAAATTAGTTTTGACAAATTTCTTGGGAGCTAAATTCAAACTCCTGAGTCAGAATTCAAAACCTGCCATAGCACAGTGTGGAAGCAGTGCTTCATTTTTTCATCTGATTGCATCAGGTCAAATCTGTTATCATAATGACATTATGTGACATACTCTGCTGGAGTTAATGGTGTAGGGTCTCATTTGTGTGTGCTCACACAAAGATACACTGATCTGGTTGCTCGCTGGTTGGTTGGTTCTGCATCTGCTACTTTAAAATGTTAACTATTTTTTGCAAAATTAAAACTTCTCTGGCCAAATTAAGAACAAATGAACCCTTATCCAAATTTGTTACTTTATTCAAAGCTTATATTTATGGCAATTAAGACATACTGGACAAATACAACTTACTGATGTGGTTTGACCAGTAGCTTGTTATCAAACTTTAGATATTGCTATTGCAACTGACATTACTACCCTTCTCTACTTGTGCTAATGTTAGGCTACAGCACCATTTGGCAGTAGTGTCAAGTGTGGCCACTGCAGTTCAGCAGAAGTTATTTAGGCTAACTTCAGGATAGCTTCAATCAATAGAGTACCTTCATCACTTTCTGCTCATATGGTCCAAATACCTACTGCAGTTAAAAGACATGGGCCTCAAAACTGGTTTACTTAATAAGAACAGTAAACAGCAGCAGACAGCAGTAAACTCCTGCCCTACTGTTTCTCTGTAGGTGGAAAAGTATTGTAGTGTGACTGGGAATGGATGGACAGTGGGACAGTTGGTGAGCTACTGTGGGAACGTGGGTGGGTGGGGACGGGGCAGATGGTAAAATAGAGCGTTGATCTTTACTGTGAATGCTGGTGGAGGGCTGACCTCGGGTAGTGGGCAGCATGTCAGAAAGGCCCTGCCACGCCGTCACCATTTCTGGGTTCTTCTGGTCAGCAAAGTTCTTCCAGATGCGTAATGCACCATCATCTGGAAAGAAAGGGGATGCAAAGAGTAAGTAAAGAGTGAGAGCCCTTTAAAAAACACAGGCAAAGAGAGACAGTGAGGAGCAAACGCCGAGAGAGGAGGGAGGTGCAGCACACAGACCCAATACTTGTTTGTATTATTAATGATAAAGAAGTGCATGTTAAACAGTGCAGATTGTTTGATGACATCTTTAAACTCACTTCAAGATATGCAACATTCACATGACTTGACCACGAACACACAGACACAATTAAAATCAATAGTGTGTAAAGCAGCATCTTTAAAGTCTTTTCTGGAAAGTGTCTTATCGGTGAGAAACAAAACAAAACAGAAGTCTCTTATCGTAAAAACCTGTCTGAGCAGTGTAACTGAAACACAGTTAAGACTCTGAGCTAAAGATAAAACATATTCATGTACTCTTAAGAGGAAGCTATTATAATCCATAAAAGTCTCCACTTGAAACATTCTGCATTTTACCTTTTTAATGCTGTGTATTTTTTATAACTAACGTCCTCCCTAATATCCTTCAAAGCATGACTGATGGAGAAAAGCCGAGCAAGTGCACTTTACATTTTGATGAGGTGGAATTTAAATGTATTAATCCCTAAGTTTTTATCAAGGTTTCAGGAGGTGTGCAGAGGAACACAGCATTTCTTCTTAATGTTACACTGGTAAGACAAAACAAAATAAACATTTGTGGGTGTTTTAGTGGGTGTTCAGACTGATCTCGTAAAAACGCAACTTCCCGCTGTGTTTAACGCAAGGGGCTGTGTTGGTTGGGGGGTGAGGGGTTGCACGAAGGCTGCTGTAGGTCTGTATGATACGGCTATGTTGTGACGAGTCAACGTGAGTGGCTTCATTTATGTTTCCAGCCTGGGAGTTTCCATTGTGTTTTGGTTAGCCATGCTGCTAACACAGCATACTCCACCACCACCACGTCAACACTGATAGATAAAATCCACAGTTTAACATCCAGTACTAATGAAAACATATGGGGTGTCATTATGGTGTGTTAACTGTGGCCCAAATTTAACAGTGAATAGCAGTGAATGCTCATGTTAACAAGGAAAACAGAAAAGTCCTCTTCCTGTGGGCGTACACGTACCAATCATCCCCCATATGGTGTGGTGAAAGCTGAACCAGATCCAACCTTTTTTGTGGCATGGGGCTGTGTTGTTTTGCCGGGAGCCCCCTGCAGAGCTGGTGCCGGCTGCGGTGAACACAGTCCCCCCACAGAAATGAACGGAGGGAGCTGTGTTTCACACCTTTGACACTCAGTTTGAACATGGCCTTACTGTGGAGATATTCTCTGCAGTTCCTCTGGGTTATGAAGATAAAGCCATGGAGGGTAATTGCTTTGTTCAATTGATGAATGATGATGAATACATAAGTGTTTTGTGTATGGTTGTTTGTTGGTGCAAGAGTCAAGCATTTAAGGCTTGTTGCTGCTACAAATGAGTCTCGTTGTGATTTCCACAGTGCTGCTGAGAGTCAACATTAGACCTGCTCACTTAAGGATCAAATTTTTACACTGCACTACTGTGAGTCTTCCATGTTATTGTATACATATATGTGCATGTTTCGAACCTGTTGCAGTGAGCAGTAGTGAGCAGTCATGTCCGTTCAGGTACTCCATGGCTGTGATGCGAGTGTAACGAGGGTTTCCATTGTAGAAGTAGTCCAGCCTCTCACCCTTCTCCCAGTCCCAGAAACTACAAGACACAGACACATACACTCGTTACAATATAATAACCCATAATCTGATCAGTTTCACACTTAAAGCCATCAAGTGTGAACCAAGATCATTTACAAACAGTAACATTTTCTTTTTCAGCCTGAGTGTGTGTTATGTGTCCCTGACCAGATGCTGTCCTTGTCTGCTACAGCGATGCAAGTGTTGAAGGGGTGGAACTTCACAACCGAAGGTACTCCAGGGTTGCGGTTGATGAAAATTTGATCATCCAGACGGGAAACACCTGTAATGGGGTGGGGGGTGGAGCAAGGGACAAACCAGATTGGGAAAAAGTGAAAACAGGAGATTTCTTGAAACTGCAGAATCACAGGTTTGATTTGTGCCGCAGCTGGAGCTGCTCATCCAGCCCTGCCAGAAGTTGTGAATTTTCACCCTTCTACAGCAAGAAGCACCGGCAACAGGATCAACAGATTAATTCTTTCTCCTCATACTTTGAGTTTGGTATGTACATCACAGGTCTGTAATGCTGTTCTGCACTGTTTGCAGGGAAAAACACCAGCATTGTACTCTGAGTACGACAATGAAAGTATCTCTCACCATCTCCTGTCTATTTTGCTTTCGTATATTAATTACCATGCTGTCTGCCACTGAACAGAATAGAAGTATTACAACCCAAAACAGTAGAAATTCTGGAGCCAAGTTTCAAGAGCCCATGGCATGCTTTTCCTTGTTTTTGACTTATCGACAATGTTACAACCATGAAGTATCTTAGATGTGACCTTAAACACAAAAAATGAGGTGTACATATGTTCTAGTACTTCTATGCAGATGCAACTCAGTTTATACATGTCTCACAAACTCGCACTCGCGAGGCGAACAAAATAAAGTATTAGTTTAAGGATTTCCTTGAATGGTCATGATCTCCAGGCAATTGCGCGTTCATGTGAGCTTGCCGACATTTATAGACGTCATATTAAAAGCGTGATTTTTCGACTGCGCTCGGTTTTGTGGATATGTTTTACCTCCTGCTGCTGCAGTTTGACCACAGGATGTGGAGAGAAATATAGGGCCTGAGGTTACTGCATGTCTGGGAATGTTCCTGTACAGGGACTCGCTGTTTTACCCGACCGGGTCTAACCTACAAGCAGCCCATCAGTGAAGTCCCCGCAGTGGCGAATGATCAGCTCATCGATGCTGGATTCCCCCAGAACCTGTTTGTTTTGACAGCTTGAGGCCAGTGTGTCAGCTGCACGTGATGTGATGCTGGTTAATGAGAGGATTAATGACCCATGATGTTATTGTTGGTGCTACACTACCATGTTAAAATGCCCAACTTTATAGCAGAATAAACATGTTTACAGCCTGGTATAAAGTAGTTTTGGTCTCTATTTCCCCTTCCATGACAACTATACAGGGGGGAGTTTTTATTAAATTTTCCATTTAAATAATGAGACAAAAAACTTTGCATTAATTAGGGGTGTGGCCACTTTGAGTGAGAGGTGGGAGGGTCCCACCATGTTTATAGCCTTGTATATTAAATGCCTAGCAAGCTCCACTCACGCTCCACCTCTTTAGGCACTAACAATACAGTAATGTGCAGACTTGAGCTTCAAAACCGCTATTCAGAAAACCAATGGGTGACGTCATGGTGGGTTTGTCCATCTTTTATATACAGAGTTCATCTTGCAATACTTACTGGCTTCCCTATGCTGTCTGTGGCTTGTGCCCAAGCTTATTGGCACCAACTAAGTGGGCATAGTTTAGAAATACAGTATATAAGCTCTCACAATTCAAAAGACATGATGGAATTCTCTGTGGACCTCTGTGATAAAACAGTGTCAAGGTCTTTACTTTTTAGACACCTTACTGTACTGCAGATTTAAATTTAAATGGATCCACTGCCATACATCTGCAGTCAATAACCCATAATAAATGTGAAACATGTTTTTATATTAATAATTGAAATCTGAAATAATTGAAATCTTTCATTTACAAAAAGTATTAAGACCCTTTGCTGTGACACTTCAAACTGTGGTCAGGTACATCCTGTTTACTTGTGATGTGTCTAGAACCTGACTGCAGTCTACCTGTGGCACAATGAACTAAGTGGGCATAGTTTAGAAATACAGTATATAAGCTCTCACAATTCAAAAGACATGATGGAATTCTCTGTGGACCTCTGTGATAAAACAGTGTCAAGGTTCAGCTCAGGGCAAAGTAGTAAGGACAATACTTATCAATCAGGCCTTTATGATAAAGTGGAAATGTATGGTAATACACATTTGTATTTATGACAGTGGGGCAGTATACTCTAAGTGGGATCAAGTCAAAATACTCTACACCTTCATCATTATGTAGATGTCCTTCAGCACAATGGTGTGGCTCACTGATGTGTTTTTAAAACTGTAGTTTGTGGACAACACTGGATCTCTTTGCTTACACGGGCAATCAATGTAATGTAGGGTTAATTTATTCCGTTTTGGGTTTTCATGGAACTTGCTGACAATAATAAAAATACAAGACAGTTATGAACAAAAAGGTCCTTGAAAACCTGAAATACTGCATTTAAAAACACATCCACTAGATCCAAATAGATGCTTGATATAATTAGTGTCTGGACCCTCTCATATTCACAGCAAGGGCCTTGCTCATGGCTGCTCTGCTGAAATATAGTGTGCATATGTGTGTTTACTTCAGACAGTTATTAATAAAAACACATTATCATTAATACACTGGCTGTAAATAGTCAAGCATTACTTTAAAGTGTCTAATTGAGGTTTGACCATTTAAGGATTGCATGAGTGTTTGCTGATTTAAAAAAGTATTTTTTACATTATGATGAAACATTTAAAATGCCAGTGGAGTAACTGAGTACTATTAGCCACAGGACACGGCAGAACAGAAGAGAGCATAATTAGCAACTGCGCCTTGATATCACTCTTTGAGTGGGGGTGTGGTTGGAGTGGCGGAGGCGGATAATGATAACAGCATGGCTTGGGTTTTATTACTAAATAAGTTGAGATTCAAGGTGGACAAACCTCTCTAGTTGTGACCCCTTTGGCAGGTTTTGATGCGAGTATACCACAGTGCCAATACACCATTGCAACAGACAACTTCACTATCATATGTTGTCATAGCAACAATTGTCGTTACTTTGCTAGCTTGTCCTTGGCCATCTGAACCCACGTTTGAGCCCATTATAATAAATTGAAAAAGAACAGAGGACAAAAACCATCATGAATTCCTCAGAGATGCAGCTGTGATGGAAAAATATAACTGAAGAGAAAAGCATATACAAGAAATTGAGGCCTTTTTGTTAAAAGCTGACCAAGATCATCATCAATGATTGGCATTTATTTGCGATGTCTGACAACACATTTGATATGGAACCACTGTAAAATCTGAAACTACCCCAAGAATTTTAAATACTGCATTAACAAGAACAAACAACAACAAAAATCAATCCAGGTTTACAAGCCAAAATATTTCTCTAACACTTTTCTCTCTTCTTATTCCTAGTTTTGCAGCCTCCTTCTCACACCCTCAATCCTCAGTCTTCCTCTCCTTTCATCTCAGCCTCCCTCTTCCTCTCTTCATGTCTGGTTGCTCTCTGGAGGGTACAGAATGAATGAGAGAGCAACCCTGCTACTTCTCTCTTAAAAAAAAATGTGTGGACACAGGAGAATTCAGTTATTGAGCGAGCATCTCTTAGAAAAAGAGATGTGTGTGAGCAAACCTTATCTCTGATGATAAATTGCCTCGTGACTGTGCGTGCATGTGGGGAGGGGGCTGCCAATGACGTTGGGGCTATTAGCTATTCTCTTTGAGAAAGCTCTGACTTCACTTAGGTAGCCTGTGGTTATGCTGGCACCCCGGGCCCTTTAATGTTTGTCTGTGTGAAGGGGAGTCCTATGACTCAGAAAGGGAGGTGGGGTGTTGTTTCCGATTAAGAACTGATTTCAGTAAATCCTGCACACTCATCCATGTGTCTAAGCCTGAGCTGTAACATCTACACATGATTTGTATCCCAGTTTTTTGTTTTACGGACAATCTGGATTTCAACAAATTCTGCCTCCATCAAGGCTTTAAAACTCCAACAAATACTCCAGACAATTGTGTCCCATCCTGAAATTTGAAAGTAAGTGTCACTGAGTGTTAAGGGTTTTTCTTGAATGTCTAAAACCTTTTCACAACACTCAGGGGTGTAAAAACAGAGAACATGTCACTCTGTAATGTAACGACTCCCTTAACTGTCGAATCAGAGGTCAACTTCGGCGACGTACAGCTTCCCCGAGTTCACCAGTAGCTCTCAGATGGGACCAGGAAGTCCTAGAATTCATTAGCCCCATTCCACATGGTGTCATCTAACATTACTGTGTAGGAGACAGTCCCAGAAGAGCCCACAGAAAGTCTCTGTTAAGCGGCTGTGCACTGCTGATGTTAGTTACAGCCAACATTAGCTATAGCGTACCTGTAGCTAACATGAGCACTTGCTGCAGCAGACCTCTGCCACACCAGCATAACAGTAGTTGAACATGAGCTTTACCATAGCTCAGTTCTGTGGGTGAAGACACCAGCAGAGGGAAACATACAGCAGTTTGAGAGCTGCAGCTGAATTCAGGGAAGTCACTGCAGTAACTATGTGGCAATACTCAGCAGACAGAAGCCTCGATGCGGACAGCGGCTCAGGGGGAGAAGGCTGACGTCCCCTCATGGACTGCAACCAGACTATGCAATGCACAAAGGTAGCTTACACTGTATGTTGATAAGCACAGAACAAATAGCCATCAAGCAAAGCACAGCGACTCATTATAGGTCTACACAGTATGAGAACAGAATGCAAGATAAAGGCACCAGTGGCCAAAATGTTATCACAGATACAGATTACAGTAGGTGCACATTTTCCAACATATTCTAGATTTACTGATTCCACTCAGTAACAAAGAGAAGCCAGTACTCACCCATTAGAAGTTCATCTTACTAGCTTTGTGCTCAGCAAAGTCAATAACAGTGCTACTCAAATCCATATTTCTGGCTCTTTCCTTGTCACTTTTTTGTTTGGGCTCTCTAAACATTATGCTAATAGCTAATTGTTAAAGAACACTCACTTCTTGATAAAGAGTTGGTTGAACCGTTGAGAAAATTATTGACGTCATAACGCCCATGCAAATGACAGGGAGCAAGGTCACTGGAAAAATACATTAGCATTTCACAGCAGGCCTCCTTCCTTCATAACTTTTGAGAAGAAAGAAACCAAACTGCATAGGTGGTGGATAGAAATCATACTTATTTTAATAAAACATACAGTTTAGGAACGTATAGCATGGACAACAAAAAAACCCCACATAAAAACAGGCTATAAATCAAAACCATGAGTGTTATACACATGGTCAGAATGTGGTATATAAAGCTACCCCATTAGCTGACACAGCATTTGGCTATCAATCAAGGGTCAGCCTGAAAACAGCATGATATCATTTAGAGTCATGGAGGGACTCCTGCAATAGGCAACATTAATGCAGCCACACCAACTGCACTGTCGAGAGTTATGTTATGCTTAGCTACCTTGTTCACTGCTTCATTATTAAACTTGCCTTGGCTTTTATACTGTAAGATATGAGAGGGGTCATGTCATGTAATGCCAATGAGATTAAAACCTGGGATGACATTTTGATAAGTGATTTAATTTCATTTGCATTAATGTCTGTGCAGTGCATGGTTCCTTTCACCTATAAATTTTCACCTGAATTGAGAAATCCCTTTGGGGATTAATTAAGTCTTGAATATGTAAGAAGACTTTTCCTGGCAGACAGAGCTGTAAAATATGAATGCCTTTGTGTTTGAATTTCAGAATTTCAGTTGAGATTTTACTGGTGTGTGCAGGAGAATACACTGAGTTTGTTCATGCCACTAACCTCTTTGTGTGATGCTTCGGCTCTGCCTTCTCACACGAGCATTTCTTAGAAACCTCCACTGCCGCTCCATCCTCACCTGACTCTCCAAGTCATGCTCCTCTGGGATCTGACAAAGTGGATAAAAAAAGAGAGACAGACCAGCTCAGAGACATTCACGTGATCACTCTATTTTTAACAAAGAGCTACTGTAAAGGTTTAAATATTTTGCACACTTAGTAGAAATACAGAAATACAGTCTGACAAAATCTCTCAGACCAATTTCTGAATTTTATTTCCTAAAGATATATATACTGTATATATATATTTTTTCCTTATTTCACTTGACAGTATGCGTATGCTCAACTATTATTTTAAGGCCTAGACTCTGTTCCACATTGGAACCATTATGCTCACTGACAACATTAAAGTTTTCAACTTTCCTTCATAGCACAGGCCCAAATTACTCTGCCAGCTCCAGTTTTAAGTCAAACACATGAAGTTATTGAGTTAATGAGTCAACGTGTCAGGTTCATGTTGATCACATCTGTTGAGCAGTGTGACAATGTGAGATATATTAACTTTATTAAGTCTTATGTAACAAATGGCCCTTACAAATGTTGTGCCAGCATTATTTTAGGAGAAGAGAATGACTCCCTTTTTAAACATCACATTAAATATGCAGAATTTAATATAAAGCTGATTTATGTCCCTTTTCAGCTGAAAGTATTGAAACTGTAAATTCAAAACCTGGGTTTTGCTATTATGTATATCTGATAGACAAGTAACTTAACCAGCAAATGTAAACAGAGCAAAACTTTAATAGTAGATGTGTTTTTAAATGCAGGTTGCTAGGGTGTGCTTGTTAAGCACATTTCTAAAGCCAGGCCTCCCACACCCACTAAATGCTAAACAGCCAGGCCCACACAAATGCACAAACTCACAGCTACAGTGCCATATGATTAAGTTACTACTGTATGTAATCAACTTTCCTGCAACATCTTCTCTTTTTGTACCCATGCTACCTTTAGGGAAGCAACACACACCCTCTGAGTGCTGCTTGTGAATACATATATTTGCATAAGAAATTGTGAATGCACAGTACAAAGTGTGTGTAGTCAATTCAGGTTTATTTGAATATCATAGTGTTTTTAGCGCTTTAGGTTCCTGTCCAAGTCTGACATGAGCTGGTTTTAGCAGTCATACTGAGGCTGATGCATTTCCACAGCTGAGAAGTGTGTGCATGAACACTTGGTATTACTAACACCAAGGGGCTCAAAACCTGTTTACACACACATACTGTGGGGACCCAGCCTTCTTCATGGGGACAAGATGTTGGTTTCCACCATGTACTGTAAATCAGTGAATTTTCCTTGAGTCCCCAGTAGGAACAATTGTGTGTGTGTGTGTGTGTGTGTGTGTGTGTGTGTGTGTGATAACATAAGACCAGGCTGATGCAGTAGTAACCAGGGCTGTGGTCCTGAACTGTGTCAGATGCTACTGTAACATATAACAATACCCTGAGGTGAAAATGTGAGTGTGTGCGTGTGTGTAAGACTCATGCATATATTCTCCACAGAGGTCAACTACACACACTGTGAATACAATATGTACACAATATGGCTGAAAGCATGTGGACACCAGCATATTATGCACACAGGAGCTTGTTAATCATTTAATTCTAAACTATGGGTATTAACATGCTGCTTTAACATCCTCCACACCTGTGAGAACACTTTTCACAACATTTTCAAGCAGGAGACATTGTGATATGTCACAAAAGGAAAAAGCTGTAAATAATAAAAGCAGCAGTAAATAACAGCTATAAAAGAAAAATTAAATGAATATTGACCGACACATGAACAGCATGATGATGACAAGTCTGCCGTGAGCCTATCCTTGAAAGAACTGCTCATTTTAAACCCAAGTAAATATTAACTCATTATTCAACTGTTACTGGAAACTTTATTCTTCATGTGGTATATTCTGCACTGGTTCTAGAAATCTTTCCCATTTCTTTCTGTTTAACTGGCCTGCTCTGCACTTATTAAGAGACTGTTTAAGTTACACTAGCAATTAAATGAAAATGTGCCAAATGAACACAAAGTCTACAGTATTTTATAATTTGCAGCAAATTACATCAGACTTTCCATGAAACTTCATAGAAATCAGGAAATGAAAGCCCTGAAGAACAAAGTGCATGGTCTTACATACATTATACACGAGGACAGCTGCAGATCTGCACGTGTTTATATGTACTACAGGCACAGAGACATGTTCCACACGTGTGACTTGAAAAAACAAAGGTATCCTTATTACAGTGACCTGAAGACCTCCTTTGGTGTAGTATTTGGCTGAACAAAGCGAATAGGTCAAAACAACAAAACAGGGATGGGAAACGCAGTACACAGTAAAGTGGCTTCAGAAAGTGTTCAGACCTTGACACTTTCTGTTGTAGGTTTATTTGTAACTGGATCAACTTGCTATTTTTATCCATCTGCACAGGGGTCCATGTGGATCCTCACGGGCAGATGACAAAACCTATGAAACATGCTGGTATAGCACAGAAGTGCTCCTTCCACACCCCTAAAACTGTGGATACACTTTCTCACTCTGAAACACACACATTTTGCTCTCGTGCTGCTGACACAGTGATATGATAACCTGTGTGCAGACTTCTAAAGAGTACGCTCTCACACACAGAGCTTTGTAATGGAGAGGAAGTTGAAAGCAGCACTCAAGAATTTTTGCTAACTGAAAAAAACCCCATTCTTCTTCCTCCACCTGCTCTTTCACACCCAATCATCTCTCTGATTGTCATCACCTTTTGTTGCCACTTCTGGCTTAGTCTTCCTTTCATCCTGTCCATCCCACTGCCTGCTCTTTACACAGTTTTACTTTACTGGCAGCTACTCTGCTCTTCTCTCACACTCCTCGTCCAGGCCTATTGGTCACTTAATGTCATCTCTCCTTTTCAAATATTTTACTTTCATCCTCTTACTTTTTCTTTATGCACTCTCTCCTCTCTACACACAAACCTCCTTCCTCTTTTGCCCTGTCTCCATATTCTAAATATTTTACTTACTAAAATCTACTTTTCTCTTCGCTTTCTCTTTCTGCATTAGCTGCTTTGTCTCTCTCTCTCTCACCCACCCACCTATACTTGTTTTACTTATTTTTCTTCCTCCCCAAGCCCTCTCCTTTTTCCTCTATCTGACCCTCACACATGATTCTTTAATATTTTTCCAAGCTGCAAAAGTGAAGTTGCAACTTGACTTAATATTACAAAATTTGGCACCAATGACTGTCTGGTAAAAAGCGCTTGATTTCATCTTAAATTTCACTGTTAAGTTATGGAGCTCAGAGAGCTAAATTATTCAGCAATGCCATCATGTAGAAACAGCAGGTACTCTCTCACACCGTGACTGCCACCCCTCCCTGCTGTTTTGCATAAGACTTCATTATTTTTTAAAATAAATTCTCCAACACAGAGTTCATGTCCTCAGATGGCTCATTCACTCCTGGTAGCCACTGTAAAATGCATGGCAAACATGTACCTGTGACACCACTTCATATAAATATTTATTTGAAAACTGAAAATTACCTGCCATACAGCATCAGGGCTTCTTTGTTGCTTAGCAACCACTTTAAGCCGCTATTCAACAACTAGATTTCTTGGCAGAGGAATAACATTAAAGTATTGTTTTTAAATTATTGATTTAAAAATCCCTTTCTCTTTTTTAAATGTTGCCTGCATGTCATGAAAGCAAGAACTCAACTGACATTATGGTTCATGACTGTTCTGTTACCACTGTGAAGTACTTTGCGGATTAGTGTTTAGTTTAAAAGAACAAAAATGGTGCAAAGAAATTTCATCGTAATCTCGCTGGCAGGAAGAAGCGATGGTTGAAGGCGAAGACGGTAAAGTGGAACAAAGGATGGTAAAGGAAGGACAGATGAAGATGTGGAGGACATTACCTTCATAACAGGCTGAGCAAAATACTTTGCACTCCAGTCGCACAGGCCTGTCTGGAGCGCAGGACTGATGTAGTTCCTGTGACCACCTGGCTCGTCCCCATCCTCACCTGCCTGA